AAATATTTATTTATTAGAAGGAATGTGGTCAAGTTCAAAGTATCATATACGAGTGTACACTGTCATATACGAGTATGGAGAGATCAAACTATCAATTTTACAAAAAAAACGGTTTTCTAAAGAATTGTAGGAAATTTTTTCTAGTTTAATTCGTACATAAATACTTTTATTGTAGAATGAGTCAGAAAGGAGGAGAATTAAAAAAGCTGTTTTTTGACGCCATTTTTTCAATAAGGCGGCAACTTGCCTTTCAAATTTGAGGTGGCAAAGTTGATTTTCGTGAAGAGCACCTCGAAATCTATAAGATTACCAATTTTCAGAATTCCCGGAGTACTGTACCGGCAAAACGACCAAATGACTGGACTAGATTGTTTACATTGTGTTTTTGTGGGATGCATATGCACAAAATGGATTTGTAGATAGAAGTGTTCCACTAAAATCTTTGCTTGAATGTTGCAAAATGTTTTTTTCTACAATTTTATCATTCCAACTTTGTTACTTCTTTTCAGACTTTTAATGAACATTTTTACTGAAGTCACTGTTTCATTTTTATTGAAGTCAATTTTGAATGCTTGATTTTGAATTTTGTAAATATGACAACGGGTTTGTGTTCAGCGTATTTGAAAACCATCAGGGTAAGAATTTGAAGCATATAGCAGCATTTTTTTAGATAAAAATTTGGGTGGCCCACTTCTCCCTACATTTTCGGAAAACACGGTAAATACACTTTTTTGCCATTCAGAAATACTTTCAAACATAATTGCAACCATCTGCTATGATAAAAAGTTGCGTTTTGGAATGCCCTTGCAACTAAGAAAAAAATTAAGAAAATAATTTTATTTTTAACCATTTTACAACCAAAAATAAAAACGTGGCCTACTTCTGTCCACCCTACTATACATGACAGTCAACTTATTTAAAGGATTCTTCTTCCTTTCTTAATTTACCCTTCCATTATAAACTAGTATGTATTTAAGAAATTTACAACTATGCGTTTTTATCTAAATATCAGACATTTTTAATTTGCATTGAATTATTATATTATCAATTTTCATATGATCGAAATATTTGTAACTTGAGAAAAATTTATGTCCGTCGATCGCAGGGAGTTCTGAATTTATTGTAGGGATGTTATGACTATTTTGCTAAGTTTGTAATGTTATTTTTAATCTTCTACATAATAAGACTCTGTGTTCTATTTCACTTCGTTCTTGATTGCATTTTAAAGTTATTTTCGACATTTGCTAAAACAGTAAAAGAAAACTGGATACCTATCGACATAGTTCACTGGTCCAGAGTGCAACGATGCGAAAACACGTTTGCATTGTAATGGATTTTTTTTATCGATTGTTTAAAATTTAATAAATATATGCATATAATACCGAAGTTGTTCAATGTCCTTGAATAAAAGAAGTTTTATTCATTCGTTCTTTGATAATGAACCTGCTTGTGGCTCATTATGAATTTTTGGTCAAAGGTTAATGATACTTAATGGCTTTGAAAACAATTTCAATAAATATATCTTACCAGTAACAATAAATGTCATAGGAGCTTTATTTAGACCTATTATTTTTCTTTGTATTAGTCTGGTTGATAAATTATAATAGAAACTCTTTTTTTATTCTAACAAGGAGATCAAATTGTTAAAACGAAGCTCCAAGAGAGTTGATAAATTTTCACAAGCGTTATACATATAATTAACTTCCCGTAGGGTAAGTTATTGTAACCGTCCAAAAATCGAAATTGAAAATTTTTGCATTTCTCGACGTTTTGAAGGTTTCTGAATATTTTGGCATACCTCAGAAAAAATGGATGTGTGTGTGTATGTATGTATGGATACATTTTTTCGTCCACGTTTTCGGACGCACGGATCAACCGATTTCAATGGTTCAAAAAACATTCGATTCCTATTGATAGGGAGATGTGCTGATCAGTTTTTGGCAAAGGCAAGTCTAGCCGTTTCGGAGATACGGAGCAAAGAATGCAGAAAATAGAAATCGAGTTTAAGAGAAGTGGTGATTAGTTTTTGGCAAAGCCAGGTTCAACGGTTTTGCAGATACAGAGCTAAATGTGCAAAAAATGGCAGTTTTTGAGAGAACTAAGCGTACGATTTGAATGATTCAAAGAACTTTCTGCTGGTTTTAACAAAATAATTGCTTTTGGAAAAAAAAATTGTTTCAATTTTTTTTCAATTTTTTTTTTCAAAAATATTTTTTTTTTGTATATCAAGATTTTTTCAGATTTTAATTGCAATTCTGACTTAAGGTTCTAATATACTTTAAACAAATATTTTCAACTTTGCAATTCAGTTTATAGTATTTATAATAATATCTATATGAAAACATATTTCTCGAACATATTTTGTTACAGTACGGGAAGTTCCAGCAATTTGCCTTAAGGCACGATGCCATACACACCACTAGTTTAAAAGTTTATTTCAAAGAAAAAGTGCACTCATTATATATGCTCATTTTAATTTCCCGAAGGAGAAGTTAAAGTTTTCGAGAAAAAAAAAGCCATTTGCCGATTATGTTTCCTTACGTTTCAAGCTATTCTGAATCGAATGAGACACAAATTTGGAATAGTATGTGGGTGTGTATGTGAGCTTCTCGACTTTTCTCAAATATGGCTAGACCGATTTCAAAAATTTGAAAGCCATTCGATGTAAATCGATAAAGACAATCGTTTATAACTTTTGTGCGACGATCGGCCGAGCCCTTTCTTTGTAGTTATCAGAAAAGTGTAAAGTTTTCGTCCATGTTTCAGGCTACAATTTTGAACCGAATTCAAAATTGAACCACATTCAAAAACTATTCGAAAGGTATTGGTTGGGAATCGCGTTAATTAGTTTTTGGTAACGATTGGTTGGATCGTTTCTTCGTTGAAAAAAAAATTTGAGGATTTTTTATGAAACTTTGTATGACGATAGATATCTGAAATAACATACTAAAATATTATAGGCGATAACGGGTTAAATCATAAAATCATCAAAGTTTAGAAGCTCCGCGTTTAAGGGATTCTAATCAGAATCTAAGCATATGCGCGTTCTGCGGTGTTTCGGTGGTAGCTACTGATTACAGTTTATTTTCACAGGCAAATAAGATACATTTTTAAAATACGAAATGGATAAAATGAAATTCGTTAAACAAATTAGTTTAATTTATACAGTTACAGAATTTATAAGTACGTATGTTTGAAAGGAATTGATTATGTTTCAGTGAAAGCGAAAATTATATTTTTGAAATCAAAAGTTCAACATTTTACCCAAAAAATAGCGGAATCTCATTTTTTATTGATCAAGCTGATTACGTATACGTATCGGGTAGTTTATGCAACTTACTTTACGGCAAAATGCTACTTACAACTAGTTATATTTTTCGATTTACTTGAAATCGATCAGAACTTAACTATTTTGTAAGTTGTGATGTTGTATGTTGTATTGTGATGATTTGCTTAACTACCGCGTTTTTCTGAAGGCTACCCAATGGTTGGCCAATATCTACTTGATAAAACTATGACAATTTTTGTAATACTGAATATTTTTTATGCGACTAGACCAGGTGAGTTTGATTTTCACTTGGAATTAATACTATAAATTACTACTGCTTGACATCATTCAGTTCGAGGCGGACTTCGAATCTGGGACTTCTGATTGAAATTCCATAGCTATAACCACTAATCCCTCTTTTTATACATACATTCAATTAAAGAATGTATACTTCCACATTAGGATTGTTAAGGCTTATATATATTCAAAAAAAAGAGTACGCGTAAGGTTCACATGCGATTGAAATAAAACTTATTTGGTACTTACAAGATGGCATTTAAGTAAAAATAAATACATCATATAATAAGTTTGAATAATGTTTATTAGTAATATGGTAACACTCGTGATGCACACATTTACACATTTATATAATGATAAATTATAAATTATATATTTATAATAGCATTGAAATTATGTGTAATATTTAAAAACAATCATGTAATTAAAGTCATACTTCAAATATGACATGATCGGTTTGTATTGTAATTAGCATTTAGAAATGAACCTCCATTAGAGAAATGAAGTAATTGCTAATTAATAAATTCTATAATATTCATTCATACATCAGTGGATTACGTTTAACAACGCCTAAACAAATATTGTTTTTGCAACTTGACTCATCATGTAATTGTGTTTGATGAACTTCATGTAATTAAAATGAACATACATTCATTGACTGCTTGTATTTTTTTTTTATTTTTTCGCTGGCGATATAATCTCATTCTCTGAATAACTGTAATATCTTTCTTGCCTAAAAATTTTTTTCCATTTTAATAACTTCAAAGATTTATAGAAACTAGGAATAATATAGGAATAATTTCTAATCAATAAACTTACTAATCGTTAATATTATTAATTAATATTTTCAATTAGAAAATTTTGAAGTTTTACTTCAAAAAAAAAAAACTTTTGTTGTTTATCAACTGCTTATGATTTAATCAACTTTACCACGAATCACTACCAAATTAATTTGCGTTCTTATCATTTTATTAGATTTCTTATTAAATAGTAAGATCTAGTAATGTAAAGAATTTATTTACATTACTAGATCTAACGTCTGTAAAAAAATGGAATATTTATTTCATTTTACATGTGTTGTATAAGAATAAGTCGTTGTCTCCGAAGTTCAAGAAATGTAAGGTCATTATTAAGTATATATAACCGAGAGCGTATCACATATAACAAAAACATAACTCACGAGATGGGGACCTTGATCTTGAATATATCTGTATAATACACAGAGCAGTCAACTCATATGTATGTCATATGAGCATTTTTAAATCAGGAAGTAATGTGAAGTGGGATTCCTGGTTGAACTGATAATTTCAAACCAGTACTTCGATTAAATTTAATGTAATTTTTCAAATCAAATGAGCATCATTCATTATCTATAAGTATGTAATACACAAAATAATTAAATTGTAAATAATATTGATTTTCTGTTTATTATTAGGAATCGTCATACCAGGAATATGGAGCGTAGAAAGTGGGTTTCTAGTATTAGTAGCAGCTTCATTAATTGCAAGATCCCTTTGCGATATGTGGATGATACAAAATGGCACATTAGTTGAAAGGTAATGTTAAAGCATAGATTCAATTTTTAAGGGAACTGTGAAATTATCTGAGGTACCATTTATTTTTGCATCTTTTTTGCATATATATTTATGCATCTGTATTTTATATTTAAAATGTTTGCTGTGGCTCGCTTTATATTTTTATTAGATATTTAATTAAATTCAAAAGAAAAAATGTATAAACCCTTCGACTCGAATGCCTCCGCTCCGGTGGCAAAATACATATAAATTCCAGAATTCGCGAGTGGAAAGGGTTAATTTTATTACTGTTTAAAGCTTTGTTGAACATTTGAACTTGTAAGAAGAATTTTAGGCAATTTATTTACCATAAACATATTTTAATAACAAATAATCATAATTCAAACATAAATCAATTTAATGATTCAAATTCCTGAATATGTTTCAGATTTTTACATTATATTCGAATCAATTTCAATATTTACGATTTTTCAACTCCCTGAAGAAGTGTACGATATTCGTATATTGTCGCCAGTAAATCCAATATACGATATTCGTATATTGTCGCCAGAAAATCCAATTTGCTCATTTTCTTGGCGTTTCAAGTCATTCTGCATCGTTTGATACCAAAGTTGGAAATAGTGTGTATATGTGGGTGTATATTTGAGCTAAAATAATTGATTTTTTGTCTCCAGAAAAACCAATTTGCTCATTTTCTCGGCGTTTCAAGTCATTCTGTATCGTTTGATACCAAAATTGGAAATAGTATGCATATGTGGGTGTGTATTTGAGCCAAAATAATTGATCTTTTATCGCCAGAAAAACCAATTTGCTCATTTTCTCGACGTTTCAAGTCATTCTGTATCGTTTGATACCAAAATTGGAAATAGTATGTATGTATATGTGGGTGTGTATTTGAGCCAAAATAATTAATCTTTTTGTCCAGGAAAAAACAATTTGTTCATTTTTTGGCGTTTCAAGTCATTCTGTATCGTTTGAAACTAAAATTGGAAATAGTATGTATATGTGGGCGTGTATGTGAGCCAAAAAAATGACCTTTTGTCGACGTTTTCCCAAAAATGGCTGCACCGATTTAAAATTTTTAATCATTTGATAGAACTTGATAGGTACTTTCATGAGATTAGTTCTATGAGACAATCGGCCAGGCCGTTTCTTTATAATAATAAAATACAGAATTATTAAATAAGTGTAAAATGATTCGCCCACGTTTAGGCCAAATATTTTAAACCGATTTTGACATTTTAAAATACGTTCCGAAGATGTTTAGAAATATGCTCATTAGTTTTTGACAAAGATCGGCTGGGCTGTTTCTTCGTGGTTTATTGTTGAAAAACAAGTTTTTTGTATGATTATAGAGTTTTTCATGGTCTTAACAAATTTCCTAAAATATTGCAGGTCTAATTGCAAGGAAAGTAGTTCAATTATAATTATTTTTCATAGTTTCGAATGGGCTGCGTTGAAATTTTAAATACTATCGTCACAATTACTAAAATTGCTAAATCTCAATTTTTATTCATCTGATTACGTCCATTATTTAGACATATCGGAAAAAAAATTTAACTTGTCTTGTGGCAAAATGCCACTTACATCTAGAGTTATGTTCTCGTTTACTTCAAATTGTGCACGTGTAACCGCTTTAAGAGAGACATAATAATAAATATAAATATTATAATATAATAATTTAATAATTTATAATAATATAAATTGCGGTATAACATCGATGTATATGGCTTAGAATATCTTACAATTATAAATATTGTTTTTTGTATATTATTATAAATTATTATTGTATGTATTATATGTTCTGTTTTTTGTTTTCAACGAATGATATAAGACAAAATTAAGTCTGACGTATTAAAATATCGCAAGTATAGTTTTTTCTCTAATTGTAACATGAATTAATAAGACATTGATCTTTTTATTAATGTATATGCTTAATAAGAAAAAATAAATACTTAAAAATTGAATTATTGCTCCTATTAATTATAAAAATACTATTAAAATTATGTTAATATTTTTATAATTAATATAATTATAATACATCATTAGTGAATGCATAGTTATATCTAATCTGCATAAATAATTTGCATATAATTAGTACAACATTTTAATATATGCATGATGGCACGTGCCTTTATGATACAGTTTTTTTGTTGCTTCTTATAATTTATTTAAATTTATTATTTTTTTATATATTGTATTTTTAGTGCTATTGTTAATATGGACAAAGAATTATTCCAAAAGCGATTGCTAAGGTATTTTGGTGCAATGCCTCTAGTAAGTTTTAATGCTGTTAAATGTATGAAATGACTATTGGCCAGAAAAATGAAGCAATTTTTAAGTCATGACTTTTATTACAGATTTCAGTAGTTAACAATGTACTAAAATGGAGTATAGGAGAATTAAAATTAAGACTTCGGACTAATATGACCCATCATCTGTATTCGCAATATTTAAAGTAAGTATTAGAAAAAGACTAACAATAAGATTATTAGGGTTTTACCTAGTTTTATATTAGTCAATGTGGATGCTACACGATCTATATGCTCGGAAACTAATTAAAACTAGTAACTACGCTAACAAATTGAAATAATTCCCATTAATTTGTAATTTAATAGCTTCAGCAAATTGCAATTATGTATTGGTTCATTGGCTATAGAAGCTGTCTAATTATTTCTTTAGTAACTACGTAGTGATCAATTTATTATTAGGTAAAATATATCACTGTTTTCTCCATTGTGCAATGACTTCATAATTAGAAATATGTGGTAACATTTAATCAACTTTTATAATTCTTACATTTATTTTGAAGGGGTTTTACATATTATAAAATGTCGAATTTGGACACTCGCATAGCAAATGCAGATCAGTTGCTGACGACCGACATTGATAAATTCTGTGATACAGTAGCTGATCTTTATGGAAATATTTGCAAACCCATTTTGGACATCATAATATATGTGTATAGACTGACAGCAAATTTGGGTGGACAGGTAATAGAAATTTTATCTCACTCGTTTTTTTACTTTTCTTAGTTATGTCCAATTTTATTAATACTGTTACTTTGGTAACTAAAATGATGAATGCCTAGGGCACAGCCTTTATGTTCAATTATAAAAACTGGTTGGTATTTGCTAAATTTAGTAATATGCGTTATTTTTGCAATATCAGATTTTTTTCAATATATGGTTTACTTAATCTTCGTGTGATCAAAGTATTTGTAAAATTCGTAACATTTGTAACCAAAGTTCAAAAAATATTTTTTTTATCAATAAAAATTTTATCTGACTGATTTTCGCATTTCTTTAGATATATCCAATTTTATTATTACTGCATATTTTGGTATTTATATAATTAAAATTTTAAATGTTTCAGACGCCGTCTCTTATGTTAGCCTACTTGTTTGTATCCGGAGTTTTCTTGACGTACCTGAGGAGACCTACAGGTAATTTGAATATAATGCATGCATTTTATACCTTGACTCATTAACACGAGGTCAACGTATCCACCATTTTATTATTGCGCTTAAAAATATTATGTGATAAAATATTATGTAAATGAATATAAAAAATATCATCTAATAATTGTGCAATTTTAAAAACCGTCTGGAAATAATATGGAAATGTTGTAAGCCTATAATCCTGTCTCAAAATTGTACTAAATCCTTCTTTTTATTGTGGTATCCAAATTAAATTGTTTCAATCAGATTATTTTGCATTAAATGTTTGATTTTAAAGTAATTTAAAAATTTTAAATCTTGTCAATAAAGATTTTTTTTTGCTAAGTTTACGTACTACTCTATTAAATTTTTTCACTAAAATTTTTACTATATTTATATACTAATTTCTTTTTACAAAATTTGACAAAACACCCTACGAGATCAAAGACTACAACTAAATTGATTCAGATTTATAAAAGATTAATAATATTACGTATGGCCTGAACCCACATTTCATGATATCAAGCAGTAGTAATATCAGTTTTTCACTTTCAAGTAAAAATTGATTCAACAATATAATTTAAAAGGATAAATCGTTGGCTTCCTCCCTCTAATAGCGTTCTTCAGTAAATATAGAGACCGATTCTGACGCATAACATCGTTTTACACATAAACTACAACGTCACTCGTATGTTATGAACCTCAATTAGAAAGACCCTGTTATCTAATATCGTTTTTTTGACATTTGTGCGGTTTCTAGGTTATGTTTTCTATCCGACAACTTGAGAAATACGCCTGACTGCACAGCAACGGCATGGCCTATGTCAATATTTTGTATGGAAAGTTCTTCACAACATGGCCTTGCCATAACATTTTTCTGTTATGCAGCAGAATCGGCCCCATAAATACAAATCTAACAGTTAGTAAGGATTGGATTACTTTAGTTCTAATAGCGTTTGCGATATATTCTTAGAAGTAAACATCGGTTACAAAAGCTCATGCGAAATTAAAGAAAAACATTGGTGATAGCAAAGGCCAAAGCAAATATGTGCGATAAAGTCATTTCAGATTGAATCTCTGAAGTACTCTAATTTTGCCTTAATGTAAAATTTTTAGTAAATCTGCGAAAAGAATTCAATTTAACAGTATCATGAATTAAATATTCAACAATCACGTTCCATAAAGTGAACGTCTCAAAAAAACGACACAAAAAATTAAAGTTTACGTGTATCAACCCAAATATTTCTATAGACAAATTTCATTTTATGAATACAGATACAATCTTTTTTTCAGGAAGGATGACCGTAACAGAACAGAAACTTGAAGGCGAATTCAGATATGTTAACAGTCGACTTATTACGAATTCTGAAGAGGTTAGTTCAATTTAATATAATCTACTTTTTCGTTTTTTTATAAGATAGTAAATAACATTTTTAATACGCATTTCTGTTTGGTTGAAAAAATGGCAATTTTATCATTGGCTTTTTAATATACCTAATTTGTTACCCTCTCAATTTTATTAGATAGCATTTTACAACGGAAACCACCGTGAGAAACTTACAGTTCTCGCCGCTTTCAAGAAACTCACCGACCATTTAAGAAAGTTCTTGGAATTCAAAGTATTTATTGGCGTTATAGATAATATAGTAGCAAAATGCAAGTATATAATTATTCAAAATATGAAAATATACTCACTTTTGTGAAAAGATTTATGAAATTATTTCTGACATTTCAGATTTTGCAACATTTGTTGGCTTCCACGCAGTTTCAATGCCTTTCTTCAAAGCGGATCATCCATTACTCACCGGACATAATAAGACGGAACGATTTAGGGTAAATTACTAATAAAAATGAGATGCACTTTTTATTATTTATTTATTATTTTATTTATCATAGCACTATTATACTTATGGAAGGATGTTAGTAAAATTAGCTGAAGCTATTGGCAGACTTGTGCTGGCAGGCAGAGAAATGACGAGACTGGCAGGTCAGAGATTTTATTTTAATATATGTTCTGATCATTTTGGTTAATATTGATTCACTTTTGCAGGTTTTACGTCTAGAGTTACTGAATTAATTGTGGTACTGAAGGATTTGAATAATGGGCATTATCAAAGAACGATGGTTACTGACTCAACTAATGCTGGTAAAAATATAATATAGATTCTTTGGATTACTAGTAATGATTTAGAGTAGAAATAAAGAAATATCAATGTTGGATATTATAACCATGGTTCATACTATGCGTTTATCATACCCTACTATTTTTAAATACATCATTAAAATCAAATTTCATTACTATTTCAGAAGTGAAATTAGTACCCGGCAGTGGTCGCATGGTTTATAAAGACAACATTATCAAATTTGCAAATGTTCCATTAGTTACTCCCAATGGAGATGTTCTGGTCAAAGAGCTAAGCTTTGAAGTAAAGTAAGTTTTTTTTTTGAAAATCTTTTTATGGCTAATGACTAATTTATTTATGTTATCACTGACAATACTAGTAATAAATTAAACGAGTTGTTTTTGAATTTGAAAATAATAAATTGCAAACAAAGGCAATGTTTTGAGAACGAATGTATAATTTGATTACCCTCAATTTATTTGCATTTGTATCAAATTTTAGTATAATTACTACTATTGCTATAAGTATTTGTTACTTTCAATGTCTTCGAAGAATATGTATTTTAATTATATTTAATGAAATAACAATTAAGAATAGCAATTTTTTATATTTTTTGCATTCTCTGTTGAAAATTTGTGTTGTTTTTGTATTGAGTAATTAAATTTATTGATTGATATGACCATATTAATTTAGCAACAAGCAGTTTAAAGCTACGGTTACATATCGAAGAAATTTTAATTCTGAAAATCAAATTAGAAAAATGGAGAACGAATTTCCTAGATATGTAAGAAATATAAATTCTGAATAGTTTTGTACTTTATACTTATTTACTCAAATATTGCCCATTAATGGTACTTGCTACTTGATCACATCACAAAATTATGAAAGAGAGGTTTTTTATGCATTTGGATTCTAATTGATTTTAATAATTCAAAGTTCTGGTACAAATGTTCTTGTATGCGGACCCAACGGTTGTGGCAAGTCAAGTTTGTTCCGCATTCTTGGAGAGCTATGGCCTTTGTGGGGAGGTTCAATGACCAAACCTCCTTCAGGAAAACTGTTTTACATACCTCAAAGGCCTTACATGACTTTAGGAACTCTTAGAGATCAGGTAAATGATAATGGAAACACATATGACTATGTACTCAAATATATTCAATTGGTCATAAATTCCATGCCAAAAGGTTCAACTGATCATGGTGAAACTAAATTATTTCTCCTTAGGTTATATATCCCCACACGCGTGAGGAGATGCAACGTCGTGGTAAATCTGATGATGATTTAACATCCTATTTGGAACTGGTGCAATTAACACATCTTCAGAGCCGCAAGGATGGTTGGGATGCCGTCGAGGATTGGATAGATGTTTTATCAGGAGGCGAGAAACAGCGAATTGCGGTTGGTGACTAATTGCAAATCAATTTAGAATAACGTCAACGTGGAAATAATAATATATAAATTATTTCTAGATGGCAAGATTATTCTATCACAGACCTCAGTTTGCTATATTAGATGAATGCACTAGTGCGGTCTCTGTTGATGTTGAAGGAAGCATGTATCAATATTGCAGACAGGTAAAATTATCTCATCAATTAGAAAAATTGTTTATGAAAACCTGAAGCATTTAAATATATACCAAATGCTTGAATTTATATTTTTGAGGATCTAATATTGTATTACCTAAATTTGAATTTCAACTTTTTCTTAGGTTGGAATAACACTGTTCACTGTATCGCACAGAAAGTCTTTGTGGAAGTACCACGACCATGTTCTGCAATTTGATGGACAAGGCAACTACACATTTGGGCCAATTGAAAGTGATACTGAAGAGTTTGGATCATGAGTCAGATTTTTAGTTTAAACGGCAATTACAACATAGAAAAATCATAATCTTGTGTATTATTTTGGGTCAACACATATTTAGTTAAGACTCATTTATTAATCATAAGATATCGCAATTAGGTGAAAGCTGGTTCTTCAACCTTACAAAAAACTATTCAAGTTCAGCATGCATGTGCAATATATTTTATCAACAATCTTTTTCTATTTGTTTTTTAAACAGTTAATGTTGAATTTTTTTAAAGAAATTTATAGGTAATTATGTAAGAAAAAGGAACTGAAATATGTATTTATGAATATAAATACTGTTAAAATGTTTTATAGGGATTATAATTTTATTAACTAAGGCCACACATGAAAAATAAGTTTATTGTTGAGTGTGGTATAATACTAATCGCATTGTATTCAGGTATTAATATGAGTTATAACGCGTTGAGAGTAATTGGCATAAAGTAATCAGGACATTCTACCAAAATCATGACCAAATATAATCGACAAAATCAATCAATTAAACAAAGTAATAACAGCAAGTAAATATATTAGGGTTACGAATTATTATGTTTGGCCAGTTCAACAAATTGTTAGAATACAGTTTTGTATGATAACATTATTATTTGTTTCTTTTATTTGATAATAATCAAATAAAAATAACTATTTTGGTTAAGTTTTTGAAGACTAACAAATTTAAGTTTTCGAATCAATGGATTTGTAATATGGTTTATCAAGCACATTAGTCGGATTACAGGGTTTATTAAGAATTCGCATTATTGTACATGCCAATGTTAATATTTCTGCAGCTCTTAGTTGTTACAGCTACAAAATATTTCTCAAATATTATATTGCAAAATTTTGTTTTATTGGAATGTTATCCGATGAAACAGCTTTCAAATCAAATCATTAAATGAAGTTTTCAATCCGATAAAAAATGTGTACAATCATATTGAAATGACAATACAAAATGTGTTCCGTTCCAAACATTTTGTGTGTATGTTTCATGAATTAGCTTTTTACAATATAGATTACTATATTATAAAAGCCCTATTCTTTAAGATTTATCTCAGATATCATGTTAAATATATTTTACTGTTTTCAAAATATATAAATTGTATATAAGTAATAATTATGGTCACATATAGTATAAATAAAATCACTTTAATTTATTTGTACCTGAAATTGGTGATAATAAAGGAATATCCATTTTGGATGTAATTTGCAACTATATAATTGAATCTAAATATTTTTATTAAACTATTCTTAAATCCTGTAAGTTTAATGCATGCATCAAATTACTAAAATTCTTACCTTTGTCGCTGAATGCGCTACTGTGTCGATTGTGTTACAAGTTTACTATTACACACTACACAAACACAAGTTTTACACACACAAATATAAATAGTTTTCACGGTATTTAATTTTTGATAGAACAAAATGAATTATCAGAAACACTTTTTCTACGAATTACGCCATGCGTCAATTTATAGTTAAATCTCGGCGACGGCGATGTAAATTGTAAAATTGTTATGCCAATATATATATAGCAAATCGTATATATATATAGCAGACGTTTCAATAAACTTTCGTAATGTTTACTTTGCAAACTATTATAATTGCAAAGTCGATGCGATAAAAATTTATTACAAGCCTATATATTGTTTATCATTTAAAAAACACATGATTATTATAGTTTAAACTATTGTTATTTTATTATTAACGTTTGCTCGACATATAAAACTTATGCCACGATGTGTATGTATATTATAACCTTTTAATTCAGAATATTCTCTTTACCTTAACCGACGAATTTGGCAAACGCGACGTACGTATGCACCTACAAACTCTCTTCTTAATATTTCTACTATCAAGGGCGAATTTATTACGCAACAGTTTACAGTAATGTATTGAACAATGGAGGTAAATATTATTTTTGACAATCGTACCAATTTATATACCAAAAATGTGTTTTCAAAAACTATATACAGAAGGTTTAAAGCCGTCGGTACGTAGAAAAAGAATATTTCAGATTCGTCTATGCATTATTATCAGGCTTGCTCGTAGCTAGGTGGTTAGAACGAGGAACGAGTGGACCTGAATGAAAGGAGCCGGTGCCATCTCGCAACTTGATGTAAATCAGTAGTGATATCCGTTTTTACTTGGGAATGTAGATATCATTATGTTTCCAACTGAAATAGTCTTCGCCAGGCATTGCAGCAGAATTGCACAATAAAAGATATTTAATAGATGTTGTGCACGGTGCTTATTCTTTGATTCCGAAAATCGAAGACGAAAATGTTTGCATATCTTCACGTTTTGAAGGTTTCTGAACATTTTGGCATACCTCAGAAAAAATGGATGTGTGTGTTTGTGTTTTGTATGTCCGCATTTTTTGTCCACGTTTCGAGCGCACAGAGCAACCGATTTCAATAGTTCAAAAATCATTCGATTTCTATTGATAGGGAGATGTGCTGATTAGTTTTTGGCGAAGACAGATCCAGTCGTTTCAAAGATACGGAGCTAAATGTACAAAAAATGGCAATTTTTGAGAAAACTAAGCATCCGATTTGAATGATTCAAAAAACTGCTTGCGTTGAGGAAACAATTGCTTTTGAAAAAAAAAATTTTTTTAATTTTTTTTAAATTTTTTTTTTTATATCGAAAATAATTCAGATAATAATTTTAATTCTTGCTAAAGTTCTAAAGCTCACTTTTATACTTTAAATAAATAATTTCAACTTTGCACTTCAGTTTATATAATTCTTATAAATATTAGACAAAGTTACATTATTGATTTATAATAATCTATTTGAAAACATTTAATATTCCTCGAACATTTCGTTACGGTACGGAAAGTTTCAGCAATTTGTCTTAAGGCACGATGCCATACACCACTAGTTAGAATTTTATTTACCAAACGCGATTAGAAGGCAACTCAATGATTGTTCACACAAATTATGATAAAATTTGCGCTATTAGAGACGACAATGATCGTACTTTCGGATTGTGATATGTTGCAGCAATGCCCCGAAGAGCTATGTTCTCTCGCAAATATATTTTGGTCTATATTTATTGACTTACGTTTGTGTGTTATGTTGAGCAATCAAAACTATTACATGTCCTGTAAGCTTATTACAAAGAACGACGTTATTAGTAGAAAATCCATTGATTTTCATTACTATCTGAGTGAGATATAGCTTATTTCTAATACTGATGAACGCTATTAGAAGGCAACCCCACGGTCGCCTTTCGAGTCGGGATCTAAGAAACATCGCAGCCCATCTGTATTTTCAGGTGATCACTACTGCTTATTATCAGATTGAAATTTGAAACATATTGCTTTATTTTCACGCGAAAATCAATGTGACTACTGCTGTCTGAAACGAGTATCGAACATGAAACTTCTGATGGCAATTATTAATCCTGGGAAACCTGGAACTTCTGATTATTCAGGTTGTACATAAGGCCGAAGTTCGAAACGTTGTTGCAAGGTCGAGGATACTATCATTGCACCAGAATGTCATAACTTTCACTTTAATACCGTTTTGAAAATCTGGTATAATATCATAAAATTAGCTTATTTATCTTACCAAATAGAAAGTTTGATCATAGTAACGTGATGATTACAACATATCAATAATGACAAGCATTCATAAGCTAAAATAAATATATTTAACAAATACAAAATCTATAACAAATCATCTTCCTGTTCTTCCAGTTTTCTATCTTCGGTGATTTTGGCTCTTAGCCAGCTCGTGTAATGACTCGTCCTGGTGTAGACGTCTGGATAGCCCAGCCGAGCGCAACCAGAACCAAATGATGTTATCCCGGCTAAAAACCACCGGCCTTCCGGCGAACGACATTGTAAGGGTCCTCCGGAGTCGCCCTAAAGAAATGTAATTGATACTAAAAATATCAACATCATTTTAACTAATTTTGCGGATAGCTAAAATTTTAGCACAGGTTTTCGGTATTAAATATATTAGCTAAGTCAATTTACGCATTCAAGGTTACTATAATTCATGAAGGGCTGTAACTTGGCAAAATTGTTTAAAATACAATTATAAAAGAAATCTCAGAAGTCCCCATCGATCCGATGCGAGCTAAAAAAAATGGCACAATGTCAAAGGTCAAAAAATGACCCTTTTGCGATTTTTAGCTAAATGGTCAGTTTTATAGCAAAATTACATGAGACAATATTGTATAGCATAAAATTATCTACAAAAATGCATCTATACTTTTTTCTGCTCAGAGCCATCATTTTAAAGATATATCACTTTGAAAAGTACGTTTAAACGCCACGTACGAGGCAGTGTGCTTAGCTCGTTTTTTACGTGGTTTCCCCAGCATGCCTTTTTCACGGGTCTGCTGTGATTTTGCATGTTTCGGAACACTTGCAAAATAATATTTGTAAATTTGGTTTGTTAAAAATAAAGGCGGTAACTATATAAAATCAACTAATATGTCTGAAAATTATAATAAATAGAAATTATAACATTGCCTTACTTATTGCCTGCATTTTTATCTCTTTAAATCAGCAATATAATTGAGTATAAATTTAATATGCTAAATGTTTAATAAACATATTTTTATTAGCATGCGTATAATAAGATAAGTATTAGATACGTCATTTGTATATTATTACGTGTTTACGTGTTAAATCCCTCCATAGCAAAAAATAACATTAGCAAAATTTTTATATAATGAATTTATATAAAATTATGACAATTTATATATAATGAATTGTCAAACGATATTAAGATGACCAATGATGACGATAAATTTTAAATTTATAAATTTAAATAAATAAAGAAATATTATAAAGAAATTGAAGACAAAGAAGACTGAAGAGTTATATAAAGATATTTTAATTATAATAGATATTATATTAATGAAATAAGTTAAATGAAATGTATATATAAAATATGAAAACTGTTTTCATAATCTCTCATACCAGGCACCTCCGTCTGTCTGAGATATGAAAATAATGTATATATATAAATAAATAAATAGTAACTTAAAAAAAAAATGATATCTGTGAGTGGTTAAATAGGTATGAGAAAATTAGTGAAAAATAAAAATATGTCGGGAAAAAAACTGTAAACAATAAAAGAACCTAAAATTTTATATACAAAATTAGGTAAAGTAAATTAATGTATTTGAAACAACATATGGTGAGTCAATATGCAAAACTTTTTTTTAATCCACTGTTGGTAAGAACTTTTTGAGTAACATCTTCAATTTTTAAAATTAACCTTCCTTTAGTCAATGAAAGCAATGGTATGCACTCTGTTATCACTATATTTATTAAATACTATTAAAGTTACAAACGTTTCGAGACTATCGATTATTTCATTATCAGTGTAAATATATATCTAATAAATTTGATTAAACTTGGTCACGAATTCTCTATGCATTGTCTTGCTTCTTTCGGGTGAAACGCACTTGAAAAGTTTGAAAAGTACGTCGAAACGTTTGTAACTTTAATATTGTTTAATAAATAAACTATGTACTATTACGTACTTTTCAAATAATATAGTACTATCTTTTATATACTTATAAATAAATGAGACAAATACTTATGTTTAGTCACAAGAAGTTCGAAAAATCTCCATAAATAAATCATGTCAATTCTCACAACGAATGTATTTGCATTGGCACATTGTTTCTCAATATAAACCTATATTGCATATTACGATTTTTAAAATTATAAATATTAGTAATGAAAATCTTAT